AATATTATTTTAAGCGTTATTTTGAATAGATTTATCATTAAGCATTGACCCCTTTTTAGACGGTGTCTGTGGCGTCTAGTAGGTGGCGCATTGGTAAAAGACAAAACAATGCCAGTTATAGATGCCGTGTTAGTAAACGACTAAACTTAACAGGGCTGTTATACATGACGCTAAGCGACGACACTTAACAGGGCTCTTGTAGGTGTGTTCAATTTTTATCAAATGCCCTTAGATCTGCATCACAACAATACTTATCGATTTATCGATAAATCGATTTCAAGAGAAATTTTAATAAATATTTAAAACTTTGAAAATGAAAACGTTTTTAGTTATATTTTTTGATAAAAACAATACAAGAGAAACAATGAAATTTCATTTTTGATTTTAATTCCATTTTGCACTTAATTTTAATGCACATTTATAAAAATAACTATATGTAATATATTCAAATTTATAATAAATTATTAATAAATTAATTTTTAAAAGTCGGAAAAAATCGACAAAAACATCTTACATGTCAAAACCGTACAAATTTACAAGTAAAATAAAAAAAATGAAAAAAATGGAAAAATGATGAGTTCCTCACAGTATAACACTTAAGTTTGATGTCGGATTTATTTTATAAAACAAAAATAAAAGTCTTATAAAAAAGTGTGGACACAAACCTAAGTTGAGTTTCCCTCCAGTTTTGAAAATGCATTATTTTAATATGTAGGGTAGTTTCACCACCGACCCCTTGAGGGCGCTTTTGCCCTAGTTTGTGTGTTTGAATATTGGCTATTTTCCTAGTTTCACACCAGGAATAAGAGTCCGGTAGTAGTGAAGGGACATCAAAATCTCTGTATCGATATTTTCTGAATAAAAATACAAATGAATATCGATGTTTTTCATCTGATAGTTATCGCTTGTTAGTGCGCAGCTGTCACGTACGCAAACGGAGACAGCTTAGTAAAAGAGGGAGATAAAAAATCCCACCTCTTGGGGATGTGAAAATATATCAAAACATCAATATATCGATATTTTTAGAATAAAAATATATATTTATATCGTGAAAAAGACAGACCAGAGGTTTGCGGATGGTCAAAGATTTCGAAACTGGGAGCTGTGGGTTTTGAATTTTTCGGACTGGTTTCTTTTTACGGATTTTTAAACTCGAGATGAAAATAAAAATAAAATGGGAAATATACGCAGCGGTGTCGTAACTTGTGTTATACAAATTTGGTACTGATTACAAAACGAATTTCTCCCGGTATCCGGGATACGAACCCTTAGAACCAAGAACTAAAGCTCTGATAAGCATCAAAGCTGTTTGCCATTGCCATAACGAATCACTTTTTGCGGAACCTGTATTTTTTGTAGAGCGAGACAAAAATATGTTAATTCAACGTTACATACAGTGTTGCCGAATCAGCTTTTTTCCCGCCATTTTCAGCCTTTTCTTTACATGACCTAGCGGGCATATTTTAGAAACCGCGGGAATTCTGGCTCTTTTTAATTTTAAATCAATTTTTTTATATCGATATTCTGTGACAGCAGATCTTCGATCCTAATCGTTTCGAGAGTGTCATCTTTATGAGGAGGTTCACGCTTAAACATATTTGCGACCAAATGCCGAAAGTTTTTAAGCAGAAATATCGAGATGCTTGGCTTCAGCATCCTCATTTTAATACTCGTAGAGGAAAAGGGTATACTAGATTCGTCGGAAAATATGTAACAGGCAGAAGAAGAACTTATATAATTCGACTGATTACAGGTATGGGTTGCGAAGGCACAAAAAATGTAGCGCAAAGTACCCTTTATAAAGCTTGATACGGTTGATGTCGAAGGTGATAAATTGAATATATTATAATTAATTAATTATTAAGCACAACTTAATATTAATTTTCGATTTTTTTCACATTTTTTTTTTTAATTCAGATGTTTTTGCAAAAAATCTTTTTTTTCACCCTAGTCCCGCCGAAAACAGTTTTTTTTCTCAGCAAAAGTTGGCAACACTGGTAACAAAAGCGCACCACTGTAATAAAAAAAAATTGATGTAAAATGTACATAAGTCCTGCTTTTTTTTGTAATGTGTTATATGTTTTTTAAGTTTCCGTTTCCCCTAAAAAACTTATTAATTACTTCTTTTGTCAACATTTTCAAAGCTTCTTCAAAACTCTCAATCGTTAATTTACTTAATTTGTTCAGTATACCCGTTACTCGTACAGTAAAAGGGTATACTAGATTCGTCGGAAAGTATGTAACAGACAGAAGGAAGCGTTTCCGACCCCATAAAGTATATATATTCTTGATCAGGATCACTAGCCGAGTCGATCTAGCCATGTCCGTCTGTCCGTCTGTCTGTCCGGATGAACGCTGAGATCTCGGAAACTATAAGAGCTAGGCTATTGAGATGGCGTGCAGATTCCTGAGCTCCTTACGCAGCGCAAGTTTGTTTTAGCAGGGCTGCCACGCGCACTCTATCTGATAGACGAGGAACTTGTTTTATTCGAAACGGGTTAAAAGGAAAAAACCTCACAATGTGTATATAAGTTTTAAATAACAAATAACAATTTAAATGAATTAAGTGTATAGATATAGTATCACTGTGGACGGCAGTCCACGTAGTAAAGAAGCGCGTCAGGAGCACACTCCTGGAGGGGACTACCATATATGGCCGCAGTGATGCACATATCGAAAGGTATAGCTGGGGCTGGGCTGGTGGTCAATTCTGGGCTCTTGCTAACAACACGCGTCGAATGACGCCTCATTTAATAAAAAAGTTTAAAGTTTAAGATTTAATAAAAAGTTATTGCAAAAGCAAGATTTTGGTGGACTTTACAAAATGAAAATTGTACTGTTCATCAGATTGTGTATTTGTCCCAAAACGTTGTTTTATAGTCTTTACAATTTTAGACGGTTTGGCACCGGTTTAGCTGAATATAACAATATTTAGTTTTACCACTTTTGGAAAAACCTGCAGGACTAGCGGGAAAAAAGATATAAATAGCTAAAGCTCTTACGCCCGTAAATTGAGAACTACTAAAGCTTCAGACCTCAGATCGGGTATGGCACATAACAATCTTGCGCTGCGTACGAAGCTTAGGAACCTTAATGTTAAATCCCAACTCTCTAGCTCTTATAATTTCCGAGATCACAGCGTTCACACGGACAGACGGTCAGATGGACAGACGTCATGGCTAAAACGACTCGGATATTGATCCTGATCAAGAATATATATACCATGGGGTCGAAAACGCTTCCTTCTACCTGTTACATACTTTCCAACGAATACAATACTCCACGTGTAAGAAGTACACTTCCATCGGAAGTGTAGGAGAAATTATGAGAATATAACAAGAACAACATTAAAGTTTTATTGATTTTGACCTCTCTAACTCCCAACGGCTTTCAGTCCACGTAGTGACGAATCGCACCGGGGTGGGCGCGAAGCGACTGCTATATAGCCGCAAACTCAAAAATCTGCCACGGTAGTCCAATTAAAGCTGATCGATATGTTGTTTATGTTGATATGAAGACTTTTTAAGATAGGTAGCTTGGGACTCTTGTGGTGAAAATAAAATAAGAAAGTTTTTAAATAGCCTTCTAGATACCTTCAAATCTTATTCGTCAATAGCGTTTTTGATTGATGCAAATGTCATTCAACTCGAAATGAAAGAATAAAGAAGTTTATAGCTTTACATATTCTTTAACGAAAAATTTTATGAGGTACCTTCTAAATTATATAACTGACTGACTTATTATCAAGCGCGAGTTCCAGTTAAATTACCCAGTTTATGAATCCATAAATTATGCTGCCACGAGCACTATATTATTGTTTTCCTAAGCGACTACTATATAATTGTTTTCCTAAAGCTCCAGAAATCACGCTACAATCAAACGAGAAATATAAAAAATATGTCGTCCAAAAAAAACGCTCATAAAGTTTGACTAAATAAAATTTAAATTAAAATTTAAAGTTAGTATAGGCCTAAAGAAAACCGGTGAGCTTCGTCACTACGAGAACTACCGCCTATAGTGACGTTATATACAGTTACCTTTCCAACACATTTTGACCAAAGACTTTTTCTGCGGTTTTGTCTAGATTATTTTTTTTTCTGGGGTTTTGCGATATAAAAAACTTTGAGATAATGAGCAAAAACAAATGAAATAAGTAGATATTTATTTATAAAAGTTATACGAAAAGACAGTTGTATCTTGTACGACAATTTTCGTATTATAATTATATGTTCTGACATGTCAAGCAAAATTTAATTATCATAACTCAATTTGGTTGGCAAAGTTAATTTCATTAAAAACAACATTCAACAGTTCAAATATTGTAATTTGTACCACATACATATCCCAGCGCAGGGTGAAATTGATAAACTTTTAATACAAACGGAGCGCAGGCGCGGTGCTTCGGAAACGCCCCCTGAATTGGGAGAGTTCTATCTTATTGGTTTGTTTGTACTTCATATATATATATTCTCCTTTTCCTGTTGTGTTTCCTTTGTTTTCGGTCTCTTATTGGCTGAAATACGACTAAGTGTATTTTTTTCCCGATTTCACAGGTCCTACATCGTTTTTGTTCCTCAATCCTACATTCTCTTTAAGCTTGTCAATATCAACGAAAACGGTGTTTCTTATTCAGTTTTCGTACCTTTTATGTGATGCGATGTTCTAGTGCTCAGAGAAAAAACGCACATGCGTTACAAGTTTTTAGTGAAAATTGAGTGGAAACTTTCTTATATCAGAACAATACGTTGTAAATTCGATATATTCAATACAGGTACAAGCCAGTTATAAGTAATGCAATAAAAATGGAGGGAAACCTTTAAAGAAACAAATATAATTTTACCTTCGAGTGTCAGTGAATGTCAATGCATTGAAACGGATTTTAGGCCTACACCTAAAAAAAAATTTTAAAAAAATTAAGTGGGCAAAAAAACACGTGAACTAATCCAAGCCTAAATTTAGGGTGATGGGTTAATAAAAAATTGTTAAAATATGTTTAAAGAAATATTTATTTCGGCTTTAAGTCCTGATTCGCTACAATTATAGCTAAACGTCTAAAGTTAAAGGCGTATAAAAAGTGTATAAGTGCACCAATGGAATGCGAAAACGACAAAATTTTACAAATGACATCGGTAAGTGGGGTTAATGCTAATTGTAAACCAACATAGCCCATGCCAACGATGCGCATGTTGCACACCATTCAGTTAGCCAACAAAGAGCAGCTCAAGATACCAAAAATCTTTTGTGAATATTTTTGACTCTAATTTTCCGCAACACAAGTTTTATACCCATTATTCGAAGAGTAAAAGCGTATTTTGTGTTAGGGAAAAGTGTGTAATAGGTTGAAGGTAGCTTTTCCGCCCACACTGTATGTTCTTGATCAGAATCCCTAGCCGATTCGATCTAGCCATTTCATGTGACTGTCTGTCCGCTTGAACGCTGCGATCTCGGAAACTTTAAGAGGTTCAAGTGGTTCGGGATTTCAGTTTTGAAATCCTTAGCTTCGTTTGCAGCGCAAGAGTGTTACGCGACACTAACGCCCACGAGCCGCCCAAAACCGGCTTCTACAGTTTTAATGCTAGAATAGATATTTTAACTAAAATGTATTATGTATTACTCCAGTCAAAACCTATCAGTTCACCTAAATACTTTACTTTTTATACCCGTTACTCGTAGAGTAAAAGGGTATACTAGATTCGTCGGAAAGTATGTAACAGGCAGAACCCCATAAAGTATATATATTCTTGGTCAGGATCACTAGCCGAGTCGATCTAGCCATGTCCGTCTGTCCGTCTGTTTGTCCGTTCGGATGAACACTGAGATCTCGGAAACGATAAGAGCCAGGCTTTTGAGATTTGTTTGATATATTGTAAATGGATACTCCCAAAACTATAAGTTGATATGTCAGAAAACACCAAAGTTATAACTCTTTTACATTTTTTAAAAATATTTTGTTGATCATTCCTTTGGGAACAACAGGATCACAGAAGAGTTTTAGTGTTTTGGTTGTTTGTGGGCGTTAGATTGGGCGTGGCACCCTGCTGAAACAAACTTGCTAGTGATCCTGATCAATAATATGTATATATACTTTATGAAGTAGGAAACGCTTCCTTCTGCCTTTTGCATACTTTTCGACAAAACTAGTATACTCTTTTACTCTACGAGTAACGGGTATAGAGACTTTAATGATTTTAATTATTAAAAATTTGCCAAGTTTGTTAAAATACAATACAATCCGTTCAAAATTTATTCCAAAAACCAGATTTTGGGGGAATTTTCAAAATGAAAATGTTTGTTCTTTTGTTTGTGGGTTTATATGAATCCCTTTTTGGTTTAAGGGTCCTAGACCCTATATATGTGCTTTAAGTAGCTCGAGATAGACTTCAACGACTTTTGGATAAAACCGCTGGTTTAATGGGAAATTCAAAAAATAGCTAGATATTTTAAGCTTATAGTTTAACTAATGTTATTCAAAATGCTAATGTGAATTCAAAAAATAGCTAGATATTTTAAGCTTATAGTTTAACTAATGTTACATATACATACATGCCAATCAAGCTGCCTTTGCTTAAATTTTCTAAATACAAAAAATTTAAAGCCATAAAAAAGTTTTCTTAAGCCATTTTTGTCTATTATCTTAAAAACAGCCCTTGAGATTCTGTGACGAAAATTGTAAACTGTAAATTGGACTAAATAAATACATAAATAAATACAAAAAATGATATTCCCAATAGTATAAGATAATACGTCAAAAAACACCGAAGATATAATTTGTTTCGTATGTAAATGTTATTTCCAACACCGAAGCTATAATTTGTTTCATATTATTTTCCTACCAATTTTCCGATCCTTCCCATGGCAGCTATATGGTATAGTCGTCCGATTTTGATCAAATTTAATTCGAAATTCGAAACTAATTAAAAATGTTATTTCCAAGCTTAAGAAGTTATATGTTTAAAAACACCAAAGATATAATTTTATAAATTTTTTTTTTCGATTATTCCTATGGGAGCTATAAAATATATGATAGTTGTCCGATCCGGCTGGTTCCGACTGCAAAAGATATAAGACTTTTGGGAAAGTTTCAGTCCGATAGCTTTAAAACTGAGAGACTAGTTTGCGTAGAAGCGGACGGACAGACGGACATGGCTAGATCGACTCGACTATATCAGGATCACTAGTTGAGTCGATCTAGCCATGTCGTCTGTCCGGATGAACGCTGAGATCTCGGAAACTATAAGAGCTAGGCTATTGAGATTTGGCATGCAGATTCCTGAGCTTCTTACGCAGCGCCCAAAACTGTGGCTCCAACAGTTTTGTTGCTAGAATAAAAATTTTAGCTGAATTGTATTGTCCTCATCAATACCTAGTTTCCCACCCCCATTTTAACGCCCACAAACTTCAAAAAATTGTAAGTATGAACTCGGATATCTCGGAAACTATCAGAGATAGAGAATTGGGATTTCAGATTTAGATTCCGTAGCCTTGTACGCAGTGCAAGTTTGTTACGCGAAGATGCCACACCCACTTCAACGCCCACAAACCGCGATGACAAAAAATGTAAACTGAAATGTATTAGTCTCGTCAATACCTAACATAACCTTACATATATTGAGATCGCGGGTAGGTGGCGCATTTCAATCTCGCTTTACTGCTTGCATATCTCCATTACCCTTTGGTCCCTTTAGCTGAGTAACGGATATCTGAATGTCGAGGTACTCGACTGTAGCGTTCTTTCTTGTTTTTAAAGTATAGTATTTAGACAGATTTTACTGTCGCTCCGAAGAGTTTAGACTTGGTACTAGGAAGAATATGACGCTTTCCAAACAATCCTCTCAATGTACTGTTGTGTTGAGCATTGATTGGCACACATACGAATGTATTAATTTTGAAAAGTCTCCCAAAATCTTGTTTTGGGCTTAACTTTTAAAAGGAGCATGGAATTTTAACATGTGAGGTGTCATTCGACGCCTAACTGTTGCACTTAACCCCACCGGCCCCAACAGTTTCATTTTTCAAAGTTTTACTTTTGCACTTTCACCGCTCTTTGTGCCATGCCAATTGATTTTCCTAAAGTTTGGTATACAATCCTTTAAGTTATTGCGATTCCTTTCGATCAGTGTATCCCTTGCTAGGATCGAAACATCGTTTCATTGTTTTAGCACGATGCCTCTCCCACTCAAACGATCACAAGCGGCCATAACTCTAAAGCCTTTTTAGCGCCAGGTTCGAAAGATAGACTATTGCTATTGCTCTTGACCCAACCAAGCATCCGCAGCCTGTGCGATTCAAATAGTGCTTAATGCAGCATTTACCTAACTTTCCGGTCCATTTCCTCATTTTCTGGCCTTAAAGCCAACGCGATCGTTAAACATTGGTGTAAGTCAGAATATTGGTATTATTATTTTATGAATAAGAATATTTTAAAAAGTGTTAACGGGTATCTGGTAGCAGGCTTTCTAAACTTTATCGTTCGTCAATGTTTTCCATTAGTGTTATGAATATTTGGCAAAATGTTTTCTAAATTACCAACTCCTGAAAAATGAGTGTAGGAAATCACCAGAGCGAACGCTATAGTCGAGGCCATCGATTATCAGATACCTGTTACTCAGCTAAGTACACTGGGAGCCCACAGGGAGTGCAAGGGAGATAGAGATATACAAGTAGCAAAGCTTCTACCACTAAGATTGCACAATTTATTTGCTTATAACTGTTGCCCAAATTAAACAATTTTCGGCATGTAGTTGGACATTGATAATAGAAACAAAATCTCGTTTAAATTTTTAAAAAATATTGAAAAATGTTAGTGCTAGACGGGTTTTGGCGTGATGGGCGTTAACTTGCGCTGTGCAAAAAGCTCAAGAATCTACATGCCAAATACCAAGCCTCTAGTTTTTATAGTTTCCAAGATCTCAGTGTTCATACGAACGGACAGACGCACATGTTTAGACCGACTCGGCTATTGATCCTGATCAAGAATATACCTGTTACATACTTTCCGACGAATCTAGAACACCCTTTTACTCTATGAGTAACGCGTATAAACACTAGTGTCTTACGTAAAAGCTCACGCGCAAAGCATTTTAGATATAGCGGGAACTGAATTAAAGTAGAGAGAGGCTTAATTTTTCAGTACCGTTATTGTTTCCATAGCTACGAGCTTTTAGCCTCAAAAGCCAAAATAATTAGACAAGGTAAACTCAATTATCCGCACATTTCATTTCCAAATGTTAATCGTCAAGCAATTTAACCCAATTAAATATGCATGATGTTATACGTGTAAACAAAAGGCCATCACTGGGACCAGCACCAGCAGCGACAAGCTGTGTAATAAAGTTTGCCCGCCCCCAAATAGAACACCTATTATTTGCCTGTTGACAGTAACCACTCAAGCGAATTATTGCCAACTCATCAGTGGGTATTTTAGTCCATTTTTTATCTACCCCAGTATCTGCATTTGTATCCGTGCTCGTCAAAAGGCATATGCTTCTGAAATCAACCCCTGGGACATCAGGACATCCGAAACGTAATCGTTTTCGATTTTAATAGGCCGCCGCACATATACAATTGGATGACTGTATGACGAGTGTACTCTTCCCACTTGAAATATGAAACCTGGACAAGCAATTGAAGTGAAAGTTTGAGGCACTCCCTCTGTAAACAAACCACTCAAATTAATAGGGGATAATTGAATTCACGTTGCAAATGCGCTTTGCTACTTTAATTGTTATGGTTTCCAGATTTACTTATCTTCCTTACGAATTAATCGACTATTAGATACCCGTAATATATGCATGCAGAATAACGACTGTTTTCGATATGGCACACTTTACTAAGTTATAACTTTGTACTAAATGGTCAGATTTAAGCTCGTAGAGTAAAAGTTTATATTAGCTTCGTAGGATAGTATGTAACAGGTAGGAGGAAGCGTTTCCGACCCTATACAAAATCATATCTATTACAAATGTTGATATAAATCCGTATCATATTGATAGGATTTCTTATCATATTGATATGAATTCGTATAAATTTGATATGTTTTTCATATCAAACGTAACATTGAAGTCTTCGAAAAAAACTGACTGTTTTTCATATTTTTTGTGTATTTAACGTATAAAGTATGGTATATTTA